AGGGGTGGCATTGGTTGACCTGATGGATAGCCCCTCACCAGCTAAAAAAACCAAAGAAAATCTGAAGCTCCTATGTTGAATAGTTTTTGAGCAATAACCATTTTTGTATGTTTTGTATATGTTCGCGTGCGGGGGTCATAATAAGTTGATGGATGGTAAAAATAGAAAAACAAGGGTCCTAAACAGTGTCATGACAGCTAAAACTGATGAAAAAGAAGTATTTGTGACAGCAGAGAAAAGTCGGAGGCTTTAAAACATGTTTGATCAACTGAAAGCCACCAGCACACTCTGCCTGCTTGTGTTTACTTCAGCAGCAGAGTGTGAATAGACTGGTAGATCACAAAACATGTTGGCACTGACAGACTAATGACCATCACACTGAGCAGATAATGGCCAGAGAATCTGTTAAAGCCATAAAACCTCAGAGTTCATTAAGAGAGAACAGACTCTTTACAATCGAACCAGCATCCCCAAACTAACCAATAAAATACATAAAGTACCTGCAAACACCTGTCTGTTTTCAGCTTGAAAACATAAGACAGGTCTGTGGCTGTGTCTTGATTCAGGGATTGCAGCCGACATAGGACACATTTGTCATCTGCTTACGTCACTGCCCTGCACTGTAGGCTGTCCCAATTCGTAGATGCATGTGGTCGACAAAACCCCAAAAATGTAAATGTACTTTATTTGTCGTCAGTGCGTGTTCCCATGCAATGATGAAATTTGTGCTCTGCATTTGACCCATCACACGTGAGAAACACCCGAGTGGAGCTGAGCGCCCAGGGGGCATTTGGGGGTTGGGTGTCTTGCTCAAGGACAACATGACATGTGGGAATGGCCGGGAGTCGAACCTGTGACTGTCTGGTCCCAAGTCGGCTGCTCTACCACAGTTACCCCCAGGCTGCATCTGAGCATCCTACGTGGCCAATGATATCCCAGAATTAATTGTGTCGTCAACCAATCAAAAGATGTCCACAAAGCTGGCAGCATTTTTTGATTTTTTTTTTTGACAACAGGGTTAGTTTTAGGTTTTTTATAAGACAATTTGGAAAATTTTCACAGTCCAAAGAATTGTAAGTTTAGCAACTTAGTTGATGAAATTTTTGCTACAATGAAATGTTAAAGAAATGCAGTTACAAGTACTGATACTGAAGCTAAACCCAAATAAATAATTATTTTAATGTATATACATGTAATGTTTTAATGAAACTGAATTTTGTGAAGTTATATCATGAAAAAACAACTGAAGGCATGTGATGTAAAACATATCTCCATGGTAATGGGGCAGTGCATGGTCATGTGAACATACGTCTGATGTAGACTAGACCAGTGGTTCCCAAAGTTGGGGTCAGGACCCAAAGTGGGGTCCTGAAACATCAAGGTGGGGTCCTGAAAAGATTTTCTAAATTAATTACATTTTTGCCTTAGTTGCCTAAAATATATAAATGTAGAATAATAAATATTGTTACTATGCCCATGTTTTGTTGACTTGATACAAATGTTTATCATCCAAAAATAGTTGTGGGCTCAGGTCTACTGTTATTTTGTGGGTCAAAAGCTGAAAAATTTTGGAACCACTGCACTCCAGAAATCAAGTGTAATAAAATAATT